GTGACTGACTTTACAGCGGATGGTGAAGGTGATCAGCTCATGGTTGCTGTCACCCAGCTTCCCATCAATCACTAGGTCACCGATTAGGTCATCCCCAGTAGCCAGTACCAGATCGAGCAGTGCTTTGCCTCTTGTTGGCCTGTAGACTTCTTGAGTCAGGTAGAGGTCATCCATGCACAAGAGGAAGCTTTGCAACCGCTCGGATTTTGCTGAGTGATCCTCCCACAAGATGTCTGGGTAACTTAAGTCACCCATGACAACCATGGTTCTGTAGCATGCAGCCTCAGCCAGTTCCCAGGCAAACTTGTTGTAATTGACCCCTTCTGGCCCTCTCTGGGGCAGGAAATACCTCCCTCCTCCAATCTGGAATGAGATGCTGCTCTGGAAGTGTGGTGATTGCTTCTCTTTCCTTCCAGTCTCCAGCATCGGCCCCACCAGCTATCTACGCTGTAAGTGTTCCTTGCTTTCACTTTCCCTGTCTGTTGTCAGCTGCTTTTCTTCTCCTGACCTCCCCTGCCCTGCACGTAAGGCACCTTGGGGCTTTTGTTTACTCTCTGTCACTCCTTTACACTCGGGCTTTTTGAATGTCTGTCCCTAGCCTGGGAGTCGCAATGAATGTAATATCAATATATATATGTGGATAATAACTACAAGCAAAAAAAGGTAACATTCCAGTAACTGATGTTCTTTGAAATTTGTTTTCTCTCTGTGTCCCCATATTTGCTCTATACTGTATCAGATTTCATAATCAGATGGATTCTTGTTGATGCAGAAATTCAGGTGATTGGTCTTGCTCAGCATTCACATGTTGTGGGGTGGAGAAGTAGGTAAACACAGACAGAATGCAAGCATGAGCCAGTGGGCATTACTAGTTAGAATATTCTGGCCTCCAGTACTGGGTGTTCAGGTGCACCAAGGCACATTTCTGGGAACCCAAGTTACTAGAAGGTAAGTAACAATTTTTATTTGTATTATGCTAAACCTTGAATATTTCTGATATCTATTTCAGTGGGAATTTACAGGTGCTTGTTGCAGTATATAAAGTTGTCATTTTTTAATTTATTCTTTTAAAAAAAAACACAGCTTTTGTTATTACTTACTCATGGCAATTTCCTATTGACTTCAGCAGGTCATAATTTTAAGTTATTATGGGCTTCAGTGGGTCATAAACTACCTGATAAATGTTATTTATATATACATTTCATTTATGAGATTAGATGCTTCAATTGTTTATAGTAAACACTGTTAAATGAAAATGTTTAAAATGAAGTTATGCTACTGATTGATGTATTTCTAATTCTAAGTTACAATGTTTTAATAGAAAAATTCAGATATCTTGACAAGCCCAGAGGGAAAAGCAGTGGTTCGATCATTCAATAAAATTTCTTATGCATTAGTGGAATTTGAGGTACTCTATCACAATGCTTGGGTGAAGGAAATTTCACAGCTACAATATGGTGAGTAGTTAAATATGCAAGAATTATAAGAAATGTGTGCTTCTTTTCCACATCATTCTTTTTCTGGCTGCAGTGATCTTTTATTTAAATGATTTCTTCTTATCTGTTGGTGACAAATTCTAAATTTACATAAATCAACTCAAATAGACTAAACTTTTTTAAATACCTTTACAATCCTAGTATGTGGGAAAGCATGAAGGTTTGTACCCAAGTGACTGACAGAACAAGTTATGGATGCAGGGGTCACCTTATGTATCAGGGGTGGGCAAAGTCCAGCCTGAGGGCTGGTCAGGCACATGGCAAACTCCATTTCTCAGGAGCCCCTGCCCATGTTGCTTTGGCTGGTATCTATGAAGAACCCCGGTAGCAGCAGTGCAGTGACAGCACAGGGCTGGCAGGGTGCATAGCTAGGTAGGGAGCTGCTCCAGGGATGGGATCTTGCGGCTGTGACAGCATGGTCTGGAGGTGGATCAGAGCTGCAATCTGCTGCCTGCACACCCCAGGCAGGGGCGTGTAGGTAGCAGATCGCAGCTCTGCCCTGGCTCTAGACCATGCTGTCACCACTGTAAGATCTTGGCCCTGGAATGCATCCCTGCCCAGCTGCATGCCCTGCCAGCACTGCTGGGGCCAGTCTCCATGGAAACTCTGACCTCCCACTCACGGCTCTGCTACTGCTGGGGTCTCCATGGAAACTGGCCATAGCAACACAGGCGGGAGATGCTGGGAGATGGAGTCTGACCACTGGCTGGTTCCTCCATTTTGCCCACCCCTGTTCTATACAGAGAGATATTCAAGATGTGGCACAACAGGAGGCAACAGATAACTGGAAGAGATGCTAGAAAGGGAAGATAAAGCTATAATGTTGAATTCATGCCGCTATTCAAATTCGTTATACAAGTTATTTGCTAGCTCCATAATATATAGAAAGACAATAATTAAGAACATATTTTATTTACACACTTATCTGCTCCTAAAATATTGCCTTCACATTTGCTAGCCAGACAAAATTGTTTCCACTAATGTTAGGTAAATCTAGGGAGGATTACAGGAAGTTGCAATTAATGTAATTGCAGATGGAAATTAGTGAAATCAAAATCAGGTTGATGCACATGAACTGAAATAATTTAAAATATATTTGCTTATAAGTAGGTATTCAGTTAGTAGCCATTTACTACATGCTGATGTATTTAATTTACAGAAAGAAGCACTGTTAACACCTTCACTTAAATGCTTGAAACAGGGATGCCCAACAAATTTGTCCCATGGGAGTGAGCCCAATTTAGCAAGTGGGGCTGGTCCATGGTCCTGATCCATGATCCCAGTTCAGCATGTAGGGGTGCATTATCTGGCTTGTTGGGCTCTGTCTGGGTCCAAAAACTTGATGACAGGATGAGTGGTGGCTCCAGACTCTGGCAATTAACACAACCACCTCTCCCCCACTACAAAATCTCTGGACCCTTGAGGTCTATAGATTGGATGATGTGGCTCCGTGGGCTAAATCTGGCCCATGAACCAGATCTTGGTCACCCTGGTCTAAAACATTAATCTTTGGTTTTAGAGGTGCTCAAGACATATTGAGATGCCCTTTTTGTGCTGGGTGCTTTAGAGACAGAACATTGGAGGAACCATTTAGCTTCAATTGTATAGGTAGATCTAAGAAGACAGAGCTACAAAAACCTTATTGGAGTCAACAGGGCTCTATATTGAAATAAGGCTGACAGGCATAGATTTGAAAGAAGTATGACCTTTAGCATTTTTTTCTTATTTTCCTTTTTGGCATTTGTTTTAGTTTTTCCTAAATTTACCTGTTTCTATCTTATTTCATAGAAATCCATCTTACAAGATAATGAGCAGATCCTGAAGGTTATGTATGCCCACAGATTTCTTTGTGAGCACATTATTCACTGACCTAAGTTGAGAAAGTATTGCCTGATTTACCTTGATACTGGCTTGAATCTGAGGCCAGTTTGGTTTGTGAGTGAAAAATACATTAAGTCAGTTACTTGGTTTCATTAGCTGAAACAGCTTGCATATTTGCTTCGTGTTCAACACATGCATGTTACTCGAGATCTCATAAAGAATTGTTGTACAATAGAAACAGTTGTTTGTTCTGGAAATTCATTTAAAAATATGTTTACAGCATTACAAGCTTCACTACTTGTGCGTCACCCTGAAACTGCGAAGTTTCTGGTTAACTTTGATCCCAAAATGCTAGAAATTGTTCGAGAGACTAAATGTATGATAAAGATGGGTCTTGAAGTACCGGAGCAAGCAAAGAGAATGGTAAAAATGGAAAATAATCTGAAGGCAAACAAACTTATTTTGGAGGTAAGACTGAAAAAAAAAAAAAAATCACAATTAATTTTTAAGATAAATAATGATATCTAGAATGCAGTGATCTGCTCAGTATACTTATGTTTATATTCAACATTTCTAGATTTTTAAGGATTGTATTAACCGGTGTCTGGGAAAAGGTTAATACATAGTAACATTTGGAAACTATGGATGTTCTTTGCCTAAAGGAAAATTTGACATTTGGAAAAGGTTCGTCAGTTTATACAGTTGATAAGGATGAGGATCAAGGTATTGGAGAGAGGGAAAATTTGTTTGACTGGATGTCCAGGTTGGAAGGGAAAATTATGTATATTTACTTCTTTGTTGCAGAGCGTCTTGTAATGACTCATCCTTCTTGCAGCCAGTCATTGGCTATTGCACTGGCAAGAAGCCAAACTCACCCTGTTAAAAACCAGTAGAACAGACAGTCATGAGCTGTCTGCACAAGTCTCCTCCTGAGCTTGTAGATTGCTCTTGTCACATTACTTTGCCGTGAAACCTGGTACCTGCTCTTGTTCCTGCATTTCTGGTGTCCATGTCTGGCCTTTGATCTTTAGCTTGTCCTCACTGCAAGGAGCCATTCCTGACTCTGATTCTTACCCCCATCTCACTTGATGCTGATCTGATCTGTCACTTACTGATCCTGGTATGATCTGTAGTGCTAGGCTCTTACTTTGTGGCTCTAGCTTGATTCCTGTATTCAGCTTCTTGACTTGGTTTGTTTCTGGTCATTCCTTTGGCATCTGGCCCTTGGTCTCACCACTGGTACCAGAGCCTGATTGTGCCACTGTCCTGACTCCTAGGTTCCTGATGTCAAGTCTAACCACGAGATTTGACAGCTAGTGTCCCCCTTGTGACATGTATTCACTCCTCTCTTCTACGTGGATTGCCCTGATCTCTTATATCTTATTTTTGACCTTATGCCAAATTTCAGTGCTAAGCTGTAACACAGTATCACTTAGTATTCTTGCTGGGGTGGGCAGCGTAGCACCCACTCTGTAGTCTGGTATCCATGATACACGCCCCTGACTGGATTGTGCTACATACAGCCCCCATTCCAACCTCTCTGGGATCTACGCTTCACAGAGCACAAGCCCTAGACTAGCTGGAGCAGGCACTAGATCCAGTATGCTGGAGGGGAGAGGTCAGTGCACCCAATCTGGACTGTGGGCTAGACATGCGTCACTCATCTGGGCTCCAGGGTATGACACCCTTGGTATAGAAAGATGTGCAAGGACTTTGTCAATGGCTAGGAAAAGAAGAAAAAAAAATAGAGTATGAAAGAGGCCTAGTTCTACTGAACGTGGGAATTACCAGTAAAAGGTCTAGTACCCTGTTGCCAATACATTCAGAGAAGGTACAGAGAACCTTGCCAATAAAAAAGCCAAACTCCTTCTTAACTTTTGGTTAGACATTTCCTTATGCCGTGAAACATGTTAGTATATAACTAGGGACCTACCAAAATCATGATTTTGGGCAGGCCCAGCAAAAAACCATGGGCTCTGTGAAAAAGTGCAGGCTGTGCATGTTTGGCAGGCTCCCTGAAAAAAGACAGCTCACCAAAAATAAAATGCTAGCTGCCTCTGGGAAGCCAGGAGTCCTTGTGATCATTTCAGCCCAGCCATGCAGCCCACTGGGGGGAAAGGAAGGGAGGGGCTTCTGGCACAGAAAGATGGCTGCCGCCTCTGCCCCTCACTGCTGATTCACCAACTGGTGGCAAGGGGTGGGGCCACATGACAGACAGCTCTCATAGCCAATCAGCGAGGGGTGGGGCCATCAGGACCCCTCAGCCAGTTAGAGGTGTGGGAGGTCAATAGCTGCCAACCCTGCGTTCTTCCTATGAAATCAGCTGGCAGCTGCCTTGACTTTGGTAAACTCCTATATATAGTGCTTCCAAAAATGTTTTTCTTGTTTCGATTTTGATCCCTACTGCTTTAATTCTGTATTTTTTCATTACCTTTAATTATCTAACCCTTTTTTAATCTTGCTAATTTTTTTGCGTCTACAACAGTGTGTGGTATTAAGTATTATATGAGAGTTTTTTCATTTACTGTTCACTTCAAAATTGTCTGCCTGTTAGTTTAATCAAATATCGTCTTGTTTCTGTAATTATTAGAAAAGCCAGATTGGGGAAAATGCCTTACAGTAGGAGAATAAAGAGCTGGATCTGTTTAATTTATTAAAAACAATTTGAAAGTAACTTGATTATAATGTATAAAAGCCTTGACAGGGAGAAAATACCAGGTCCTGAAGGACTCTTAAATCTAGTAGAGATAGGAATAACAAAAACAATGTTTGGCAACTGAAGTCAGAAAGATTTAAATTGGAAATTATGCACACATTTCTAACAATGAAAGTGGAAACAAACTGATGTGGGAAGTGGGAGTCATCTTCATTTTTCAGAATCATCAGAATTAGTATTTTGTCTGGCTTACATGCATTAGAAACTACATATGTGTGGCTCTTCTGCTTTTCTTACACACTCATATAGGTCAAGATACAATCTTTCTGCTTTTCAATGATGGTAGGGAATAAATCTATCTTCTATCAATCGGTGTCAAATTTTTCATTTAGAACTATTTTGACTGAATATTTTTTATATATCTACTATGTAGGGTTGGCAAGCTGGTCAGTTGACCAGTCAAGTATTGTCAGTTGACTGGCCAATTGAGTGCATATTTTTTGACCGGTCAAAATTATAGCAATTTTATTTTAAAAAACAATATTTTTTGTACTTTTCTTCACAAAAATGATTTATATTCTTTTTTGACACATTTAATGGAAAACTTGTGCTTTTTCTAGGTATTATTTGGACCTATTGGCAATTTTTTCCCCCAATTTTTGACCAATATTTGACTGGTCAATTGACCAAACTTTACTTGACCAGTCAAATATCCAACCCAACTACTATAAATTATCTTTTATATCTACTGACTTGCTTTCATTAATATTTCAGTAAAAATCTTTAAAGCATTATTAGTAAAATATTTGTTTTATAATATTAACAGAATCTTCTGCAGTGTTATGAAGATGTGTGTCAGGAAACACCCATGGTGTTTGTGAATTTAATGGCCCCTAAAATGAGAAAGGTTGGTATTGCATAATATGTTTACATTTCAGATAATAGAAGTTTGCATAGATAGAATTGTTTGCATGTACTTTTGAGTATTTAAGATACTAAATTAAAGAATTGGATATAGCAGAATCTTTCTAATTAATGCTAATATGTGGAAGACCCATTGTGAATTACTTGCTTTTGGGTTTTAATAAGTAAACCAATAATGTTATATGACTGATTCCCATTTACAATTTTAACCACATTAGCAACAGCAAAAGTACCTTTAAAAGGGTATTAATATATCATACTCCCTTTGAAGCCCTTTCACATTATCAGAGTAATGAAAAAATTATTTCCGTGTACATAATATTCAGACTTCTGTTCACACCTATAGGACGTTAGCAGATGTCTTGTGCACATACATCTCTGAATTTCATGTGCAAGTACAGAGACATTTAATTTAATATGTATTTAGTATGCCAGTTGAAGATTTTCACAGAAAATTGTTTTCTTACTCTCTTTTGATATACTAGGTATAATTGCTGTTTTATGGCTTTGTCTTGAGGAAATTATCAGATTTATAAATTGGTAATAATCAGTTCACTAATATGTAGACCAATTTTAATATAGTAGGCAACTGTGGTTCCAACAAGGTGCAGCAAGTGGTTCACCCAAACTTCAGTATTTACTGAAGGTGTGTATATGTCCCTTTCAGTTATTGCACCAGGCAGTACTACCCTGAAATATGTCATGCCTATTCTGTGTATGTTGTCTCTGAAACAAAAAATAATATAGTTGTCTTAGTATTTCACTGCTCATATATCAAGAAGCTCTCAAAAAGAGAGCAAGTGAAAGGGAACATAGCTTGGTGGTGCAGCAATAAAGGCACTTAGGTGGGAGAAGAGAGGCCTGGATTTTGGCCTTTGCTCCAAAGACTACTTGCGCATTTTTAATAAACAATGATTGGTTAAAACTTAGAGGCTAGGTACAGAAATTTGGGGAGGTTATGGGGAGGTTAGATCAAGCTAAAAATGGCCACCTGATCTAAGGTAAGTCAGAATGGGGGGGTCAGCGGGAGGGGTTGGAGGGTCAGGGGCCAATCAGGAGGCCTGCCAGGGGATGGGGGGCAAGTGGGATCTGCGGGACGAATTGGAGGATTGGGGGAGCAGGAGGCATCTATGGGGGGATTGGGGTGCAAATGGCATTTGTGGGAGGGATTGGAGTAGGTGGCCTCTGTGGGGGGGAGGCAGAGGGTAGGCAGCACCTGCAGGGGGAGATTGGAGGGCCAAGTGGAGTCCATGGGGATGGCTGCGGGAGGGCAGGTGGCATCTGTGGAGGATTGTTGGGGTCCATGAGGGTATGATGGGATCAGGGGGCCTTGCGGGGTCATGCTTGGGGGATGGGGAGCACTCTCCCCTGCTCTGTGGGACATGGGGCTATTTTTAGCACCCCCCAACCTCCTCCCTACCAAACCTACCCCCCATTCCCTTCCCCCCCTTCTCCCACTGAAACAATTCTTCAGCTCCTGGCATTGCCAAATGCTGATAAAACCGGCACCAAGAGCAGCTTATGAGATGAGGCTTTGGTGGACTTGGTGTTAGGTGAGCAGGGGGTCTGTGGTGGAGAAGTTGCTCGTGTGGGGGTGGGGTGAGGGGCTGGGGTCTAAAAATAGCCCAGTGCCAGGGGGCAGATATGAAAAGGGCAGGTCTGGGACTGAGGCCAGTGACTGGGTTTTCCCAGCCCTGGGGCTGCCCTGGGATCTGTGCAGAAGTTTGGGACAGTTAGATCAGTCTAAAAATAGTCAACCTGATCTTGGAGGTAGGATTAACTTGGATCAGGTCAGCCATTTTTACCTGATCTAACTGTCCTGGAAATCTGTACAGTTCATACTTAGATCCAGCCAACTAGGGATCTAAGTGTAAGGTCCACACGTGGGCAAATTAAGTTAGATTGGGTAGCCACTTTTAAAATGATCCAACATCCCCTAACCTCCCCAAATATCTTTATGCACCCAGAAATAATCCCGGCAGTTGGAACCTCCCAGGGGAGTCGCCTCCTCAGATACTCTTAGACTCCTATAGAGTCATCTTCCCTCTTGCTTACTCCCCTTCTGTTCCCAAGGATATTCATTCTTGACTGAATATTTAGAGAGGGGGAATGCCATTCCAGATATAGGGATAATTATGAAAAAAATGGCACAAATATGAGAGTTGAAGCAGAGTAAAAAATTATGTCTGCAGGGAGTTAGTGCTGTCCTTAAACTAACCAGCTTGGGTATTGATACCAGCTTAAGCAGGGCTGCAAGGGCATCAGCGCAGACTTTATAAAACTCATCTGAAAATCTGGGTAGCCTCTTAGGTGACTCTCTTGGTCTGAGCTCTGTGCTGCTACAGTTATCCTGCTGTCAGTACCCAATTTAACTGGTTTAAATTAGCTCTACAGTTAGAACTATAGTTACACATGTGACTGCCATGTAGACATATCCAAAGAGAACAACAACACTGAAAGAATAGGAAGTGTCTAGGTAGCAATATGGGGAAGAATAAAAAATGAAAGAAGAAATGTGGCAGGGGCATAGCTATTCATAAACAACCTTTAAGAAGCTTTAAGTTTGTGCAGAAAGACATAGGGAATCAGTGAAGGAACTTGAGGTGAGTGACATAGAGTGCCAGGAAAGAAATATCATTTCAGTTGTTTCTACCACCTTGAATCAATTCAAAATGTTATTGAGAGGAGACAGACCTATGCTGTAACCAAGATTTTGGCAATGAAAATGGTGAGGAAGGAAGCATTTAGGAATAGCGTTCAGGGAACAGCAGTAAGATTTGGTAAGAACCTGGATGTGATTAAAGAGGAAGGGGAGAATCAAAAATGACTTGGTGTGTTGGCTGACATGTAGACAAGCTGTCAACAATGATAGAAAGGAAAAATAATTAATATGATCAACAGGAAATATCAGAAGTTCAAATTTTGTTTGTTTAGTTTAAGGAAGCAGAATCCATACAGTGATATTAAAGTTTCAGGAGGAGAAGCGCGCGTGGGACAGAACAAGAGAATTCATTAATATATAGGGATAGTTGAGAGTTGTTAGCATAAAGGTGAATATGGATGTGGTACATATAAAGACCCAAATGAGTACTAACTGATTTTTTCAGCTTTTGTGAAATTACAAACATTTATGCAAACTATTTTTTTCAGGAAATGAGAACAGGACTGTTACTGATCCTTATGATTATAAATCCTACGTATATTACATTCCTACTTTGTTTATTTTTCCTGTTTTTGATTACCATATATTTTTATTTTTTTAGGTGGAATCTGTGTTGAGGCAGGGACTTACCATATTAACTTGGTCATCTTTGACATTAGACAGTTTCTTTCAAGAAGTTGATGAAGTTATGAATATGTTTAAACAACTTTTGAAAAAGGTATACTTGTTTTGCCAAATTAATTAAAGTAACATTTTTAGAATAAATTGTATCAAAAATATATATTTTTTCAATTTATAAATTGTTCACAGGAAAAACAAACCTATATCTTTCTTGTTTGGCATACTTGAAGTATGTGTTTTGTTTTAAGATGTGTATTTTTGGAAGAATAATAAGGATTCTTGTAGATTATTCATTTGTACTTACCTCCATTTAAACACTGGATCTTAATTTCTCTTCTTGAACACAAACTTTTTTGTTTTCTTTAACAAGCAAATCTAATTGCTTATTAACGTGGTTTTCAAATTCTCACCATTACCATCCTCTTCTGATTTGAAGAGCAAGGTAAGTGTTGCATTCTCCCAAGTGTAGACAGAAATAAAATGACCCCAGCTACTAGCAAAGGTAAGAATATTGTCATGCTGACCAGTACAAAATATAACGTGAGCCTAAACTAAAACTATGAACCAGTTGCCATCAGTAGATTCAGTGACAAAAGATTAAGTTTAAATTTTTCTAAGCCTATGCAGCTATCTCACAGTACATATTGCTTGCTTCTATCACTGCTGGAATAAGCCAGCATATATAGATAGGTAGCCCTACAGACTGCTTTTTTTATCCTTTTTTTCTTGCACTACTATATTGCTGCTGTACTGTGTCAGCTCTTGTTGGCCACTACCAGTACAAAAAATAATTCCTGACACACTGCAACTTGATGGACTGCCTGTGCTGTGTCACAGGGTGGGGCCTAGGAGCGACCGTGATCCCGCTAGGTCCCCCTGCCGTGCCAATTAGGAGGTCCAGCACCCTCTTAATTCTCGCCCGCCACGTCTTTGATCTTAATAGTTAATCTGGGAGGCTGCCTAGGATCTCCTATGATCTCAGGGTGACTTGGTGCACCCCAGCCTTATGGGCTATGCGTGCCTCCTACCTCCCCTTTAGCACGCCCCAAGCCTCGCAGCTCTTCCGGACGTTTTTAGTGTCTTCCCTCTTGGACTAGCCCTCCCTGGGCTTCACTCTTGCAGGCAGGCCCCCCCGGGGCCTATGCCACGCGCCACTTGCGCTCTTCCCCTCGCTGGGGCTTGTGTCTGCACCTCTCGCGCTGTTGCCCTTGTGGGACCTGTCCCGTGCCAAAACCGCACCCGGGCTCAGGTGGCGCGCAGCCGTGCCTGGCCCCTTGACCCTTCTCGGGGTCTTTATGCCACGTGCTTCCCATGCCTCTCGCGCCCTTGGCTCTCTCGGAGCCTGCTCCCACGCCTCTCATGCCCTTGGCTCTCTCGGAGCC